ATAAAAGTGTATTTTATCTCAACTTTTCTTTTATTATATTTTATTCATTCAATACTTGTTGTATAAAATTTCTAAAACATTTTTCTCTTTTTTTCTCTACACTTAATATCAATTTTGCATATTTTTTTACATGTTATGTATTTGTTTAAATACTGACTTATGAACACTGAGTAGCAAATGTAGATTTATGTTACAGAATATTCTTATAGCGTACATATGTGTACATAAAATGAAATATCTCTTACTCTTGTTAGTTATATAAAATAAAAATGATCAATTTTTGCATACCTGACCAATCTTTAATCTCTTTGTTCCTTAATTGGCGTTTAATATCAGGGTCTTCATCGATGTCCGTCACTATAATCTTTGGCGGTCTAACCATTTAAGTATCGAAAGCGCTAAATGAGTGTTTGGTTTACACAACAATTGAGTTAACTATTTATACATTGAAAGGATTTATTATATAAATTTATCGGTCGATTGAATGCATAAAATAAACAAATATTAAATACATATTAAAAAAAGAAACAAAGAGTTGAGTATCGAAACTAATATTTAATATCTAACAAAGCGAAGGCAATAATTAAACAAAAAATATACTGTATTTATGGCATTCAGACTACAGAGCATTTCAAATGAGCGACACTTTATATACTGTTATATCAGTTGTGACTTTCGGTCGGCAAAGAGATGTGTCGCGGATTTTAAATACCTGAACGCCATAACCGCTATTACATACTGTATATACCATTAAAATGTATATCAATTATTATCCCTCATAAAAGGTCAAGGATTGGGTGTGGGATGTAGTTATAGTGGGCAGTAACCTATTGGCCTCATAGCCAACACACATACACCACCAAAACACTGCCCCCACCCGTAAACCCCATCTCTCGCTGGGATTTATACCATTTGTGCTAAAAATATATGCAATTAAAAAACTTTATGTTCATTTATATTTGTCTACAAAATCTATTTTGAAAACAATCTGCTAATTATTAGTATACGTAACAACAAAACAGTGGATACAATTGTTTCACAAATAATAGCATGCGCTAAAATATATGTCCGTTTTGCATAGAAATGCATAAATCATTGACAAAACCATTTGACAATTTTATTGAAATTTCATTATAAATGACACGGCGTTTATAAGACGTTTTAATTATGTCTAGATTTAATATATGGCGCAAATAAAAACAAAAACTGCTGCGAGATTGCTATGGGAAACCATTTGGCCATTGATTTAATATGTGCACAAAAATGCATAGAAAACAATATACACATTTTCAATGTGTTCTAGATTTAATATATGGCGCAAATAAAAACAAAAACTGCTGCGAGATTGCTATGGGAAACCATTTGGCCATTGATTTAATATGTGCACAAAAATGCATAGAAAACAATATACACATTTTCAATGTGCAAAATGCCATTAGGCAATATACAATGCAGTTTAGTAATACATGATAGAAAATTAATGGCAAGCAATTCTTACCTAGACGTCATATAAAAAAGCCGATTCTCTTTTATTTATCACTTCTACAGAATATCTCTATATTTTTATGATTGAATTGTCGGGACTTTAATGTAATAATAAATACAAGTATAAAATGCAATCAAAACACTCGCAGCCATTCGTGTACTCAATTCTTGTGGTCAATAATATAATTTTGTTTTTAATATAATTTAATACATATTTGCAATTCTCTCTCAACTAATATAATATTCTGACAGTAAAGTCAATGGGAAAGCGCCGCCAATATTACCCCCGTATTTATGTCATGCGTGTGCTATCTATGGCCTAACAATTTGTATGTGTTTGCCATACAATGCCTTTTAATTACGGTGTGTAATAAACATTGCGTTTATATAATGTGCTTTAATTATAATGTAATTATAAATTTGGATAATTCATCTAATTGATGTTTAGAGAGGGAATTAATTTCATTAAAAAACAAAGAAACATTCACAAAAAATAACACAACACAACAGAATCGATATATAATTTTTTGGTTAAACATAATCTAACTTTTTTCTCTGCCTTTTATTGTAATTTAATTTCTCTCGCAAAGAATCGTGAGATAAAACTTTAAATTTAATTTATTTATATCTCAATGTAAACTACAGTACATAAAAATATTGTGTGTTTTGCGCCCAAATATATTGATTTATTTCTGAGATATTATATTATATTTGCATAAAAAACATATGCTTCAAGTGTACAATATTTGAACATGTTTTTAAACTAGATATTATAAGATAGTGCTAGTGTTATTTTTTGACGCTCAAACAGTTAGCATTTGTTTTATTATGGTTGGCCAATAACCAAAATTAATTGCAATCTATGCATAACTGCTATTTGCTGTAAATTATATTTTTAAATATATATTTAAGGAACAAATCAAACAGGAATTAGTTTTAACAGTTGAATCTCTCTCTCTCTCTCTCTCTCTCTTTTAATGCCACACATTATTTGTAACGCAAATATATTACACGAAATTAATATTACATTAATATTTAAACCTATTAAGTAGATTAACTACAAATCTCTCCCTTAATTAAAGTAATTTTTTGTTTCTTTGTATCACAAAAAATAACACAACACAACACAATCGATATGTAATTTTTTGGTTAAACATAATCTAACTTTTTTCTCTGCCTTTTATTGTAATTTAATTTCTCTCGCAAAAAATCGTGAGATAAAACTTTAAATTGAATTTATTTATATCTCAATGTAAACTACAGTACATAAAAATATTGTGTGTTTTGCGCCCAAATTTATTGATTTATTTCTGAGATATTATATTATATTTGCATAAAAAACATATGCTTCAAGTGAACAATATTTGAACATGTTTTTAACCAACATACAGATGTAGATGAGCTAGTGTTATTTTTTGACGCTCAAACAGTTAGCATTTGTTTTATTATGGTTGGCCAATAACCAAAATTAATTGCAATCTATGCATAACTACTGTACATTATATTTTTAAATATATATTTAAGGCACAAATCAAACAGGAATTAGTTTTAGCAGTTGATTAAGCTCTCTCTCTCTCTCTCTCTCTCTCTCTCTCTCNGATCTTGCTATTGCTTTCCCCTATTGATAAATAAATAATACAAAAAGAGAGAGTAATATTAATGACAGCACATCACACTCTCTCTCTCTCTCTCTCTCTTATAAATCATTTGTTTTATTTTTTGAGATTCTTTGGGGCAAAAAAAACAAGAATATTCTGCGGAATTATAATTAGATAATAATTTCAATACACACCACATGAATACGAAGCAAACATGTAAAACATTGTGACTGACATACCATACGAGTTGTGCTGTCCATCCGCTCTAATTCACCCAAATTTATATCTCATCTTTTGTTGTGAATACTGGACCACTATTTATAGCATAAAAACTATATAATACTCTTTGACTCTAATATAAACCATATTTTATTGATTTACAGAATAATATAATCTTTAATACAATATAATCAATATTTATAACGTTAACAATTTAAGTCAAACATGTATTTTGATATTTAATAAATTATTATACATTGATATAACGTCTGGGAAAAGGATTAAAACGATTGATTGATTATATTATATAATATTTACGGCACTTATGTTTGTCTTGTATTCATTGCATAGAAAAAATAGTTTTTAATTAAATGAAAATTTTGAGATAAAACCTCTATGTGTTTACAATGGATTTAATTGTGTTTACAATAATAACATATACTGTTTAGTATCGTTTTATACACAAACAGTACATTGGATTATCGCTATTAACTTAATAATCAAATAAAATATTTATACAAAGTATTAATTTTGTGTTTGTATTTACATTAAACATAATGTTTTATACAATTTTAATATCGTATACCGTATGTTATATTAAGTACAAGTATTCAAAAATTGATGCAATTTGTATTATTTTTTGCATGCTTCAACGAAATATTTATAACAATTATAAATAATTAATGAATAAAATCTATGTAATATTAGAAATCGATATAATAATTATGCACAATCCCGATAAATGCATATGGACAAAATCTCTATACAATAAAATCGTTTAATAAATTTAATTAATAGTAATTTTAAAAATATTTCGCAATGTAATAAGAAATATCAATCCAATGATTATAACAATTAAATAATATACTCGTATAATATAATTAATATAATTTCAAGTTATACTTTGACTACAAAAATTTTTATACATATTGTGTGTTAGGTTTTGTTGCATAGTTTATGAGTTCATCAATAATTTATAATCAAAACTCACAATTCATTGACTGAATTAATTACACGTCTCTCTCTCTCTCTCTTTGTGACAATCAGTGACTTTTCTAGATATCTGTTCCCAATTCTGTGCCTCAATTATAGCATTACAACTATACATGTGTTAAACATATATAATTAAATGCATTTTCAAGGAAATCACATTTAAAAATATCTCTTTTGCAGACATTTTCTAAATCGTTACCCAAATGTCAAAATGAATGTACTATTTGTGCCAAAACGGCTCACTTGTGTGCTCACTGCCCGTCGGCGGCCGGTTATCGTTTGCTAAGCTCTTCTTTTTGAATGAATTCTTATCGTGTTTACGACTATTGGCGAGAAAGGCGTTCAGCTCTTCCTGACTGTCCTTCTTCTTATGTTTCTCACTGTTTGGATCCCTTTCCAGCTTTAATACTTTGAACCGCAAAAACAATAGCAAACCCGACCCGTACACCAGTGTTAGCCATAGGATGACAATTATTTCGGTCGATGTTATAGTTTTAATAAACTTTTTCTCCTTCCCCTCATTACCAGTGCTGTCGTCGTCGCTATTAATAGCCGATTGTGTGGATCGTATGGGCGCTGAATCGCTGCCATCCCTAATGATTGTGTGATTCTTGGTTTCGATGTAAACATCGCTGGCGTTGTTTCCGGAGAAGAATATATCGCTTATTAAAGTCCCAAAATAGGCGTAAACAACGATCACAAGCAATAGGAAATATCCCAACACTTTAGGCGTGAATATCCGTTAAATATATAATATAAAAGTTAATTATGTTTACGATTTTCAATACATAATTATATTAAAAAATAAAATAACATTTATATCTATTTTGATGCATAAAGTCATCAATAAAATGAACATTTCGTACAGAATATGCAAATAATAATTAAACAAAAATAAAATAATACATAAATAAATATGAAAACAGTTATAAATACCCATAAAATTGATTGCGTTTCTATCGGAAGACTTCTTTACGATGGCATTGCATTCATCGACACAATTATTATCTAAAAATCGTCTCAATATTAGATTATTTGAATGAGATTTCGGTCTATTATTGTTATCTTCATTGACATCAATGATAGGGTTTTCATTATTTAACGCATTATTAGCTGTCATATCATCGCGAATACCCGTACTATCGCTAATATTATCGTTTCTATTCATAATATAATACTCTTGAGGGCAGAAAAACAGTGATAGAGAGCCACACAAAACACATTCACAACAATCATATGTATAATCTATTCACTCACTCACACACTCCCTCACAATTCATAACCCTCTCACACGCTATATCTATGGGACTATTAATCGCTCTCCAGAATCGATGCACTTCAACCTCTTTGCTGCGAAACACTCATCAAATTAAACACTGTTTAATATTTTCAATAAGATTATAAGCGAAGCTCCGGAGCACTGAATGCCACTCAAGATCTTAGCGACAAAACACTGGCACACAATGCCATCACATAAACCAAAAAATCGCACAACAATTATATACACGATTATTATTATATACAAAACATACACACAATCACTGGTTTAATGTCTCCGCTCTTATCCAATGTGAGCCTCGGAATAGTGTTTTAACTGTACTTTTGGATCGATTCCCAAACTGGGGTTTGTATTAATAGAGAGCACACATCACGTAAAGCGCCGGCAGTTTTGAGACAATATTATTTTTATTATTCGCACAGAAATTGTCAAAACAATTTTCTTATTCGCATTTTTGCTATTTATAATAGCATTGAAAACCTCTGACATTATACACATTCATAATTGCGATTGTACATATGTAATATAAAACAGATCTGCAATTAATTAACTTGTGATATAAGGGATAATTGTTTTCAACACTAACCCTATGGGGTTTAAAATAGATTTTTATTTAATATTAGAGTAGTTTTTCAACCGGTTTTCTTAACGATTCAATTGTTTCGCTATTTTAAAGATTTTTGCACTAATTTTGGCCTTTTGTTTGAATTGTCTATAATTTAATTATATAAGACTTTAATGAGTTTATGATTTGTTACGTAACGGTGATATTTATTTAGTATATTTGCTTAATTTATTAATTACATACTTCAAGTATGCTAGGCATAGATTAAATTAACCATGTATAGCATTAAACTTGAAACTAAATATTCATTGCCTTATAATGATTGAGTATAACAGCTATAATTTATATTTTATATTATTACCTAATGATAAATTTTTTTTATATACGCTTAATTAATAAGTATAAAAATGATAATATCATTTTTATATTATAATGATATATATTTTGAACAACGTATATGTTATGATCAAAATATAAATATAAATTAATTAAATGTAAACTCACCAAGAGAGCATTATTTGCACATTTAACGGTAAATTATATAATTAAGGATTTCTTACGCAAGCAATGAAATAACAACAAAGTTTTAAAATAAACTAAAACTTTCGTGCCGTCTCTCTCTCTCTCTCTCTCTCTCTCTCTCTCTCTGTGACAATCAGTGACTTTTCTAGATATCTGTTCCCAATTCTGTGCCTCAATTATAGCATTACAACTATACATGTGTTAAACATATATAATTAAATGCATTTTCAAGGAAATCACATTTAAAAATATCTCTTTTGCAGACATTTTCTAAATCGTTACCCAAATGTCAAAATGAATGTACTATTTGTGCCAAAACGGCTCACTTGTGTGCTCACTGCCCGTCGGCGGCCGGTTATCGTTTGCTAAGCTCTTCTTTTTGAATGAATTCTTATCGTGTTTACGACTATTGGCGAGAAAGGCGTTCAGCTCTTCCTGACTGTCCTTCTTCTTATGTTTCTCACTGTTTGGATCCCTTTCCAGCTTTAATACTTTGAACCGCAAAAACAATAGCAAACCCGACCCGTACACCAGTGTTAGCCATAGGATGACAATTATTTCGGTCGATGTTATAGTTTTAATAAACTTTTTCTCCTTCCCCTCATTACCAGTGCTGTCGTCGTCGCTATTAATAGCCGATTGTGTGGATCGTATGGGCGCTGAATCGCTGCCATCCCTAATGATTGTGTGATTCTTGGTTTCGATGTAAACATCGCTGGCGTTGTTTCCGGAGAAGAATATATCGCTTATTAAAGTCCCAAAATAGGCGTAAACAACGATCACAAGCAATAGGAAATATCCCAACACTTTAGGCGTGAATATCCGTTAAATATATAATATAAAAGTTAATTATGTTTACGATTTTCAATACATAATTATATTAAAAAATAAAATAACATTTATATCTATTTTGATGCATAAAGTCATCAATAAAATGAACATTTCGTACAGAATATGCAAATAATAATTAAACAAAAATAAAATAATACATAAATAAATATGAAAACAGTTATAAATACCCATAAAATTGATTGCGTTTCTATCGGAAGACTTCTTTACGATGGCATTGCATTCATCGACACAATTATTATCTAAAAATCGTCTCAATATTAGATTATTTGAATGAGATTTCGGTCTATTATTGTTATCTTCATTGACATCAATGATAGGGTTTTCATTATTTAACGCATTATTAGCTGTCATATCATCGCGAATACCCGTACTATCGCTAATATTATCGTTTCTATTCATAATATAATACTCTTGAGGGCAGAAAAACAGTGATAGAGAGCCACACAAAACACATTCACAACAATCATATGTATAATCTATTCACTCACTCACACACTCCCTCACAATTCATAACCCTCTCACACGCTATATCTATGGGACTATTAATCGCTCTCCAGAATCGATGCACTTCAACCTCTTTGCTGCGAAACACTCATCAAATTAAACACTGTTTAATATTTTCAATAAGATTATAAGCGAAGCTCCGGAGCACTGAATGCCACTCAAGATCTTAGCGACAAAACACTGGCACACAATGCCATCACATAAACCAAAAAATCGCACAACAATTATATACACGATTATTATTATATACAAAACATACACACAATCACTGGTTTAATGTCTCCGCTCTTATCCAATGCAAGCCTCGGAATAGTGTTTTAACTGTACTTTTGGATCGATTCCCAAACTGGGGTTTGTATTAATAGAGAGCACACATCACGTAAAGCGCCGGCAGTTTTGAGACAATATTATTTTTATTATTCGCACAGAAATTGTCAAAACAATTTTCTTATTCGCATTTTTGCTATTTATAATAGCATTGAAAACCTCTGACATTATACACATTTATAATTGCGATTGTAATATAAAACAGATCTGCAATTAATTAACTTGTGATATAAGGGATAATTGTTTTCAACACTAACCCTATGGGGTTTAAAATAGATTTCTTATTTAATATTAAAGTAGTTTTTCAACCGGTTTTCTTATCGATTCAATTGTTTCGCTATTTTAAAGATTTTTGCTCTAATTCTGGTCTTTTGTTTGAATTGTCTATAATTTAATTATATAAGTCTTTAATGGGTTTATGATTTGTTACGTAACGGTGATATTTATTTAGTATATTTGCTTAATTTATTAATTACATACTTTCAGTATGCTAGACATAGATTAAATTAACCATGTTTAGCATTAAACTTGAAACTAAATATTCATTGCCTTATAATGATTGAGTATAACAGCAATATAATTATTATTATTACCTAATGATAAATTTATTTTTATATACGCTTAATTAATAAGTATAAAAATTATAATGATATATATTTTTAATAACGTAATATACTGTATATGTTATGATCAAAATATAAATATAAATTGATTAAATGTAAACTCACCAAGAGAGCATTATTTGCACATTTAACGGTAAATTATATAATTAAGCATTTCTTACGCAAGCAATGAAATAACAACAAAGTTTTAAAATAAACTAAAACTTTCGTGCCGTCTCTCTCTCTCTCTCTCACTGTTTGGATCCCTTTCCAGCTTTAATACTTTGAACCGCAAAAACAATAGCAAACCCGACCCGTACACCAGTGTTAGCCATAGGATGACAATT